GTGTGTGGTCGTTTTGCTCGAATGATCCGATGGGACAGAGCTGGAGGCCTGGTATCGAGTAGCTTCGATTTTGTCAAGAATCCGACGGTCTTGCAGAACTTCTTGTATCGGTTCGGGCACATGAGCAGGGAGGAGCGCGGATTTGACCCAACCGTCACGCTTGCGCGCCAGGAATACATCGACGAAATGTACAGCTGTCAGAATAAGCTCTCTGAATACCAGCAGGAGCGTTTCGCCAAGGCATTCCCGAAGGAGACGGAGAGAGGGCAGTGGCCAATCTACGAGGTCTGCATGCGGAAGGAAGACGTCGTCACTCCTAGCACCATCAACTGCGATGAGGTGAAGAAGTCGGCGTCGCGCCTAGAAAACGATTCTGCCTCTGGAGGACCATCCGAAGGACAGGAAGACGAAAGGGCCAAGTATCTGCGGTTCCTAATTGGGAAAGCGACCTTCATCAGCAGTTCGCCGACAGGACGAGCGACGAAGGGATTCGTTGCTTTCGACATGCACCTGAGGCGACTTGTATTCTTGAAGGACGTGTGGCGAGTGACTAATGTCCCTACCGAGTTGGAGGTCTACGAGAGACTGTGGAAGCATAAAGTATGCAACATCCTGACGCCAATCTGCGGAGGAGATGTGGGAGGGTCACAGTCGTCTGGATCGCCATCACCGCAGACGACAAGAACGCAGGAATTTGTGAAGAAGCAATCTACGCGGGTGCACTTTCGATTGATCGTATATCAAGTCTGCAAACCTCTGACGGAATATAGTGACTCGAGAGAGCTAGTATGCATCCTCCTCGACGCGATATTGTGTATGTATAACTTCTGTATGTTGTGCTCTCATGCTCACATCAGGTCCAGGTCATCATGATGCCTGGGTGATCGCTCAAATACTGCACCGAGATGTTAGTGTTGGAAATATTTTGATTGATGTTGAAGCTATGGAAGGGGGCAAAAAGATGGTCATTGGGATCCTGAGCGACTGGGACATGTGCAAGTACAAGGAGGATCTGAATAAGGGAGTGGCGCAACAACAGCGATCGGTACGTTTATCAAAATATTTTGAGCTATCCTTCAGAATATACTGACTGTTCATGAAGGGTACATGGCAGTTCATGTCTGCTCTCTTGCTGAAGGATCCTCACAAGCGTCATGAGGTGTCTGATGACATCGAGTCATTCGTGCATCTCACGAATTGGCTTATCGTTAGATTTCATCCACACAATTTGAGCGGACAGTCGCATCGCCAGCTGCTGCTTGATTACGTGACATCAACGTATGATAAACACATTTCCAAGGACGGCGCCGACGTCGGTGGAGACCAAAAGCTGACTCACATGCAAACTGGGAAAGTTGGCTTTTATCCAGATTCTAAAGCCTTACGCGATCTCACTCAATCACTGGCTGAGATGTGCAAAGACCACTACGCCACCCTCACCTCATACATCCAGAAACTTGAAGGTATAAAGGTCGAGACACCGACGCTGATCGTTGGAGAGCCAGACGGTCCCATTCGGCGTTTGCGGCCTACTCTTCTCTCCACGGACAGTCTTATTGAACCTGAAGAACCTAGACAGCAGCCACAGGCACCCAGACAGCAGCCGCAGGGCTCTCCTACGTTGGCTAATCATGAGGCAATTTTCAAGATCTTCACACGGATGCTTAGGTATGGCTCATCCGGAGACAAATGCTCTGATCAATTCAAGATGCTTTGGGTTATATCAACGTCTGGAGGACAGAAGCGTAGCCTGGAGAGCTCGGAACCACTCACATCGCACCAGGCGAAGAAGGCTAAGGGAGCGGATTCGCGAGAGGAGTCGTCTGGCGTGTGTGGAAGTAGTACCCCTGGCACGGGCTCGCTGCCTGTGGTTGACGAGGGTGCGGAAGAGGCTGAGTAGGTTGATGTCGTACCATACGTAGTGCACGTAGATGAGAGCCCAAGGGCATGCGACGGTTATAAATGATATATCGAATCATATCATTAAGACACTCGAAACTAAGTCGCGTCAGACTCGCCTAGCTTCAAATGCTTCGCAAATGGCCAATAATGACATCTTCACTCCTCTGACGCGCCGAGTGTGTCGCTCAGAGCGTCCGCGTCATGATGCATGAACAGTCCGGACGAACAGGGACGAACGTACACTACAAATAAATCATCCTCTGGACGGAAGCGCCCCTCATACAGGCTCCGAAACGTTTCCTGTGGTACACGAGAGCGCAGGAGCGTGAACTTGACGTAGCCTCCCAGCTGTACACCTGGCGCCCGCAGTGAGGCGTAGCTGTGAGGGAACCATTCAATCCAATAACCGTTTCTCTCGGCTTATGCCGATCCGCCCCGGCGGCTACGAAAGGTTGCGTATGTTCTCAAATCGGTGTCAGCCGGCTGCTATCATCTTCAAGTTCGAGTCCCTGCAGTGCCATGAATCGTTCAGACCGTAATCCGTATTGTCAACGCCTGCGGTGGGTCACGCGTTGTCGACGAGGTCGAGTATAGCCCGGCCTCCCCCAGTATTGAAATTGTTACTTCGCCTTTCGACTTCGACGGCGGCCCGGTGTTCATTCAAGGGTCGCATGAAGTTCTCAGAAGGCAACAGAGGTCTGTCATGCGCCGCCGAATAGTGGGCAAAATATTCTGCGGTGCGTCTTCGGCGGGGAAATGTTCGCAGACGGTCCGGAGCGTGCGTCCGCGGCCGTCTGGCTCGGAGCGTCCAGCTGATCAAGGAAACAGCGTATGAGTACATAACTGTTCCATGCGCTCCGCCTCACGCGATGTTCGACACGAGATACAGCAATGCCGCTCACAGGAAAGCTCGCGTTCCGTGCTCTAGCGTCGACCGTGCTGTCCTTTCTACCCCACACGCTCTCGCAGGCCACATTCTCGCCAAATAACGTGCCTCCGGGACCTGTGGTAGACGTTGGATATGCCTCATTCCTAGGAAATGCCTCGCTGCCGGGCGTGGAATTCTTTGGAGGGATCCGATATGTCCAGCCTCCCCTGGACGACTTGCGATGGCGGGCACCCGAGATGCTTAACGAGACACCTGTCGCGGACAAGAATATCACAGACGCGAGACATTGGGGGTCCATTTGTATCCAGCAGCCCGCCCAGGTGGGTTTTGGGTCGGAAGGTGCAGATTTTCGGGTATATGCGTGTCCACCGCCTCGCTAACATTATTACGACTGCTAGACTGCCTGACTCTGAATGTATGGAGGTCGCCGAACACGAAGGCGGGAGACAACCTACCTGTGGCAGTCTACATTCATGTACGTCCCTTAGTTCTTGCATCGTACTCAGTGCTCGATATCAAGTGATGATACCCAGGGAGGAGGAAATTACTATGGCGTGAGTGCGGGCTCTCTTCATTTGACATGTGTCTTCTGATCCTAGTTCCACACGCAAGAGTGCTCAAGGATTTCCCATGAACACATGGATCACCGAAAATGATGGCTCAATCGTCGCCGTCAATCTGCAATATCGGCTAGGAATGCTCGGGTTTTTGGCCTCGTCAATTGTAGAGGAAGACGGAAATGCAAACGTTGGATTACTGGATCAAAGAGCGGCGTTGAACTGGGTCCGACGGTAGGTGGCAACGAGATGGGCATCTTCCAGGTGTATTCACAGCTATCCAGACATATTTACAGCTTCGGCGGCGACCCTAACCAAGTCACC